ACATTATTGTTAATTTGAAAATAGATGTATACCACCAATTCCATAGTAATATATAAGATATACATATATATGTTATTTATGTATTATTTCATGTACTATGTATTTCATGTATCATAGTTTTCTCACAAAAAAGAATGAAAAGCTATTTCCCCTTCTTTAGGTGGGCTGTGAGTTTGGGAGGGGAGGATACGCAGACTGAAGCAAACACCTGGGGCAAATTGTTAGCATCTGACCTGCTAGGTAGGTAGTGACTATTTCTGGGAATTCTCCTTCATCTTGAGAACATCTTGAAATCCTTCCCAGTCTTGAAAAATATTTTACTGGCTACACAATTGTGGGTTAAGAGTTCATTACTTTCAGTTCTTAGAAAATGTATCAGTTCATTTTCACTTCTGCAGGTTCTAATAATGAACTGCCTCAGTGGTTTCTAGTAACATTACATATTTTATTTTTCCATTGTAGGTAAGGTATCATTTCTCTCTTACTACTTTTAAGAGTTTTCTTTCTTTCCTTGCAGGCAGTTCAGTAAGTGTTGTTCTGGTGAAGTTTCTTTTGGTTTATTCTATTGTGGTTCATTCCTCTAACTAAATACATAGGTTTCTTTATTTTGCCAAATTTTTAAATATTTGCTGTTTTTCTTTGAGTAATCTTTCAGCCCCTTTGTTATTCTCTTTTGGAATTTCAGCAGCTCAAACACTAGTTTGTACTAAATCTCATTGGATTTATTTTATTTTAATTTAGTTTATTTTCTGTTATTCATACTTGCTAATTTCTATTTTCTATCTTCAATGTAACTAATCCATTTATCTTCCCTCTAAGTTTTATAGTTGAGCCTCTCTTCCAGTTATTTCCAGTCATATTTTTCTGTTCTAAATTTTTCATCTGATCATTTTTGTATATTCTATTTTATTACTGAGACTCTGTTTCTTTGGTGAATTTTTTTTATAATTGGTACATTTTAGGTATACAATACAGCTACATTCATAGTTGGGATATTGTACCTTACATCTTGGTTCTTATTTTTTCCCTATTCCCCTGACTTCCCTTCACCCGCTTCCATCCTTCCCTATTTACAAAGACTTCATTTCCATTTTTTCTTTTCTCTTTTCTTTTCCCTTCTTACTTATATTTTAAAGTTGGTTTTAGTATGTTCTTAATTATGTATTGAAGCAATTTTATAATGGTAACTATAAAATATTTGTGAATTCTAGTGCCTGTATCTTCTCAGTGTCCTCTACTGGTCTTTTTTTTTTTTTTTTCATTTATTTTATGAACTTAGTTCTTGAAATTGATTGAGACTTGGAAATTGCTAATACTATTCCACAAAGCTTTCAGCTGATTTTTTTTGTGTGACACTTTTACAGGGGACAGGGGATGACAGCTTCCTTCTCACTTTCAAGTAAGAAGTTTGATTTTCTTCTAAACCTAATAACACATGGGAGAAAGTTCTTCATTACTGCTGCAGCGGGGGAGTCTTGCCTCCCCATGAGACTCCCACTCATTTCTAGCTGGGAGGAGCAGTGATGCCTCAGTGCTTCGAGGAGGTGGTGAGAGTCCTGACTCCCTGCTTGGCTCCTCCAGATAGCACTCCAGTGAATGGAGGATAGATGCATACCTAGACTTTCCTCTCTGTCTTTGCCAGTGAGGATGGGAATAAAGCCAGTAATGTGCACATGTGTGCATGAGTGTGCATGTGTGCATGTGTGTGTGTGTGTGACATTGGCTTGCATAAAGTACTTACTTACTAAATGTATTTTGGTAGGCTGCCCATCTGTTATGGTTTGGGTCTAACTGATCCCCCAAAGCCTCATGTGGTCATAGGCTTGGTCTAGAGTGTGTGAAATTGGAATTGATTCATGATGCAATTCTAGGCTCAAGGGCACTAGGATTAAGGGTGTGAGTGCTACCCAACCTAAGTAGTCTGAATAAGATAAAAAGGCAGGGAGGTGCTGTTAACTCTCTTGTTATCTTTGCTGCCTTGCGTGTGCCATGATGTTTCTGCTCTGCCATACGTGTTTGTTGTCCCAGCCTTGGAGTTGGCTGATAATGGACTGAAACCTCTAAGAACTGTAAGCCACATAAATACCTTCCCCTTTAATTTTGGGTGTCTGATATTTTGTCTCAGTCATAAGAGAAAAATAACTAACACAGAAGTTTGGTACTGAGAGTGGGGTTATTGGTTTGACATTACTAGGCAATGTAACTCAAATGCCTTTGGAAATGGCTTGTGGAAAGGAGGAAAGTTAGGAAAAATCCAGAGATGTTGGCTATAGAAGTAGCTCTGGAACACCTTAGGTTGTTCTATATGGGAGATTCTGGGCAGAGCTCAGAAGATCAGAAAGCTGGTAGAGACCAGGCTCAGGAGGTTTGGGCTGGGAAGGATGGCATTTGCTGCTGGACTCCAGAAGATGTTTGTTATGACTTGATAGAAAGTTTTTCTGAATTTTGATCAGGTTCAAAGACTTTTCTGGAAGATTCAGAACTACCAGCTGAAAAAATGGGGCTGGAACACCCTAGGCTATTCTGTATGGGAGATTTTGGTCAGAGATGAGAAGACCAGAAAGCTTATAAAACCAGGCTGGGGAGGTTTCTGCTAGGAAGAAGGACTGAACTGGCTGTTGGACTCCAGATGATGTGTGTTATGGCTTGGCAGACCGTTTGTTTGCATTTTGTTCATGTCCAGAGACTCTGCTTGAGGTTGAGATTAAGGGAGGTGGACTAATTAACCTTGCAGAAGACATTTCAAGGCAGTCGAATATTGAGGCAGTGGCATGGCTACTCTTGGGGGCTTTTAGCCAGATCTATGTGGAGAATCAAGAGCAGAGCAGAGAGCCCAGAAGAATTATTTAAAACATTTTGAGTTGGGCAAGAAAAGAAGCCACAATAAAGCTGTGGACTGCAGAGATAGAGACTAGCAGATCTTGATTACTGAGAAGGAACAGGAAAATAGAAAAGATTGAGAGTATCACAGGAAGCAGCAGGACTCCATACTTTGCAGCCTCAGAGTTATAAAGGTGAAAGAATTTGCTTTGAGAAAAAAACCCCAGAGAACCAGATTCCAAAATGGCGATAGCCACACTGTGTTCCAGAGTGGTGGCTGCCTAGAAAATTTGTTTCTCAGGAAAGGGTTCAGAATGCTCAGCAATCCAGGTATTTGACCCCTATATCCAAGAAGTAAGACTGGCTTACTACTGCTCCAGCTGGCAGTATGCCTTGACATCATCCGTGTGGTGCTGATTTTAGGGGCATGCAGAATGCAAGGGTTGTGGGTCAGGAAGGCTTCCACCCATGTTTCAGAAGAAGGCCTGGGGGACCAGACAGAATGCCACTGAGAGGGCAGTGTGTGAAGCCAAAGGTGCATTGGAGACCCCAGAAGTTTGGAGAAGCCAGGAGTGTGGATTGTCTAAGGAAAAGCAGCAAAGAGGGAGCAGAGCCAGCCCAAAAGAGAATCCATGGGAGCTACAACCACCAAAAGTGCCATAAGGGTAGAGCCACGAAAATTCTTTGGAGCTCACAACTTGTCACAGATTTCTGGGGATGCTGGAAATGAAACTGTGGAATTTAATGTTTCCCCTACTGGGTATAGGACTTACTTTGGTGAATTCTGTTTGTACCTTCTGGAATGGTAATGTGTATCATCTTGTGCCAATGAAAGTTGAAAGTGTTTGACTTTCTTTTCAGTTGTACAGGGGCCTGCAGTTAAGAGTTTACCTTGAATATCAGAGGAGACTTTGCACTTGGAGTTTTCAGCAATGCTAAAATTGCTAGGACTTTGGAACTCTTAGAGATGGACTAAATGCCTTTTTGTAAAGGACCGTATATGAGTCTTTGTGGGCCAGGTGTGGAATATGATGGGATGGGAAGGCCATGGTATGTCATCTCAAGACCTCATGTGGTCATAGGTTTGGTCTAGAGTGTGTGAAATTGGAATTGATTCATGATGCAATTCTAGGCTCAAGGGCACTAGGATTAAGGGTGTGAGTGCTACCCAACCTAAGTAGTCTGAATAAGATAAAAGGGCAGGGAAGTACTGTTAACTCTCTTGTTATCTTTGCTGCCTTGTGTGTGCCATGTTGTTTCTGCTCTGCCATGCATGTTTGTTGTCCCTGCCTTGGAGTTGGCTGATTATGGACTGAAACCTCTAAGAACTATAAGCCACATAAATCCCTTCCCCTTAAACTTTGGGTGTCTGGTATTTTGTCTCAGTCATGAGGGAAACGTATCTAACACAACATCTTAATATTTTTATTGGGAACACCATTTTTTTCTGAGATTAAAAAAAAATCTGTATTTTGGGTGGTCAATTTCTTCAACTCCCCATCCAGGGTACATGTGGAGAAAAGATGTCATCATATCATTCCTTAGGTCCCCATGCCTCCAGCTGTTCTGCCTTCTCTCCATTTCTAAGTATCTTTCTATGTTTCTTGTTATATAAAAATGCAAGCAGTCTTAATGTGTACTGTGAGTAACAGAAAAAATTGTGTCCACTGCATTTTTCCAGTCAGTGGACTTTGAGCTAATAGATTAACTGAAAGATTTGAGATGATTTATTAAAAATGAGAAGGTTGAAAAGTCACTAAATAGTAACTTTCCAGTCAATTCAACCTCTATGTAGAGATTGGTAATCATTCATACTCATTTTCACTCAAAATGATAAATATACAGAGTAAAAACATCATAATTAAGACCACAATGATAGTTATCTATCTGATCAGGGTTTCCTTAAAAGGAATTCTTTGAATAGTGTTTCTTAAGGCAATCCTGACAAATAAATCTTCCCTGGATCTGCTGAAAGACAATGTTATAACATGAAGGAGTCTTTCTGGATACCTTTCAATCCTTTATTTATACAGGCAATAATGTGCCTCAACATGTTCTTAGTGTTAAACAGATAATCAGATGTTTTACTCAATGTCTTCTATGTAAGTAATGTTTGCTTTCAAAGTAAATTCTTTGAAATCTGCTCAAGTTAATTTTATTCCTTATATTTCTTTCAAAAGGTAAATGGTTTCAGCCCAAGCATAAAAATGCATATTCTCTGGAGAAAACACAGATGAACAGCCCAAAGGAGGACTGCTTGGCTACATGGATTTCAACATATTTTCTAGCAAAATCATACATACCCAAAAGGAGATTCTGGCAATTTTGGATGGCATGTCGATAGGAGGAATTCCCAGGAGGACTCTGGAATGCTCATGAATTATTGGGTTATAGCAGTAAACATAGTAGGCATACTTTTTCAATAGTCATAACAAAGTATGATCTTTGTAACATATTTTGTGTAATAAGTAATACAAGTGTAATATAAAACAGGTGACTAATATTGCTTCACTATTTCAGTATACCATATGTGATAAGTAGAGCCAAATTGTAATTATTTCCATGAAAGTAGAGATAATTTCCAGTACTTTAAAACTATATGACCTGTATTGTGAACTTTGAGGCTTTACATGTGATGTGTATTGTGACCATATTTCTAGTTTACAATATAAATTCAATTATGAAAAAATAAATTAGTATTCAAACATTCTGGAAAAGAGTCACTATCTTTTTTGTAGGAAGAAACTAGTCATCCAAGAAAGTATTTCCAAGAAATGTATTCTGCCAAGTTAGCTAAACATTTGTATTTTTTGACTCAGGTTTGAGACTCTGAGGCTCATGAACCCACATCCTCAGTGCTCCTTAAAATGCTATTCATAATCATGTTTTATGCCCCTTTCTGAAACTTCCCATTGGAAAATGCAGCTTGTGAAGATCAGATGAGAACACATACCTGACTAACCAGATAATCTAAAGTATTTGTTCTGATATTGGATTGGCAATGTCAATTTTTTTTTTACTACAGGGAAAATTTAAATAATTAAATGGAGTAGCTGAGACATAATTAAGTCATAAATACATGATAGAATATTAATAGTCCCTGGATCTGATTTGTTATGGGAATTTGCTCCTAGGACATACCCACATATGTGAGATGCTGTTAGCTTAACTTGGTATCCACCATAATGAAATCATTATTTATCACTGTCACTACACTAATTCTTATTCTTTAAGATTCAGGAAAGAGATTATGATATTGCCATATTTGATAAAATAAACCAATTGTAATCTATGACAAATGAAGGAGAATCCTCTCTCCCTATGATAGAAGTTTTCCAGTAGAGGCTGAGGAACATAAATATCCATCCTGTCCAAGTCAAGGGGAGAATGTGGGTCAGCATAAGAATCAGAATACTCTAGGTTCCTTTAGGCACAAAGTTATTTTTTTATCTATATCTACCTCATCTATCTATCTCTACCTATATCTATGTCATCTACATCTTTATCACATTGGGTCTGTTTATTTATTTTTTTTTGAGAAACCTAATTCAGTGTTCTCTGTTTTCATGCTTGTGTTTTAGAAGTATAGTCCCCAGTAGCTTCATAAGAAAGGGTTTATGGCAGATAAATTTTATTATGTCAGTGTCTGAAAATATCTTTATTCTGTACTCAAATGAGAGTGCTAATCTATCTGGCTAACTCTTAGCTACTTCTTAATTATATCTGCCTTATAGTGTGGCTACTGAGAGTTTTTTTTTTTTGTTATTGCTCACTTCATGTTTGGTGATCACTTATTTTGTGTGTTTTAAAGGTATCTCAGTAATTAGAGTTTGAAACATATAAATAATACCTTATTGGGGGTTCACTTATTGAAGAACTTTTCAGTGAGAGCCAAGAATAATCTAATACAATTTCTGGGGAGAAAAATGTATTCTCTCTTTGATTGTTCCCTCCTTCATTTTTTCTTTCTTTCTTTCTTTCTTTCTTTCTTTCTTTCTTTCTTTCTTTCTTTCTTTCTTTCTTTCTTTCTTTCTTTCTTTCTTGTATCCTTTACAAGTTAAAGCACCCAGGCTAATCTAATTTCACATCATTTTATTTCCTGTTTTTCATAACTTTTTCCTTTTAACATGTTTTAAGATTTTCTCAACTCTATTTCAAATGCCTTTTATATTTTGGCTATTATATCTTTAATTTCCAAAAATCTTAATTGCTTTACTTTATGGCTCTCAGTTCTCTCTTAATGGATTCAGTATCTCTATGTGTGTATGTATGCATGTGTGTGTGTGTGTGTGTGTGTGTGTGTCAAGGAAGTGATTAATTATAGTTCTACTTTTTCTTTGACCAACAGTGTCTTTATTTTCTTTGAGATTCTACTTTTCTGTTTATTCTTACCTTCTTCTCTAATTTTGGACCTTTTTTAAAGCACATAACAATCTTTTGTTATCTATGTGTAATAAAATGTGAGTTAATATGTATTGGTAGCTCTTTTCATGTGGGAAGGTTTGCTAATTTGTGGGAGTCCCTTCGGAATGATTTGGTGACAAGATTTTTTTTTTCCATTGGGCTGAACCTCAAGAGTGTGTGTATATTTTTGTTATTGCTTTCAGTTTCTTTAGACAAAAATTATTTAACATTATACTTGCAAGATTGAATCTTTTCTAGTGAGAGCTCTTATAGCAGCATGGGGAAAGAATAAGATGTGGGTTTTCTATAAAATGGAATATCACAGCCATAAAAAATGAGAAATTAGATTAATTCATAGGAAAATGGATACATATTGAGGATATACTCCTAAGTGAAATATATAAGTCACATATGTGTAAATACCAAATCATTTCTCTGGTATGAATAAACTATAATAGAACATAAGATCCTAATGAGATAATTGACAATGTGAAATACGAAGAAAGGGGCTAAAGATGTAGGGAAAGTAGGAAGGGTAGGGGAAAGGTAATAAGGGAAAAGAAAAAAAATAGAAAATGAAAAAAAGAACATAAAGTGTTTGTAAATGGGGAGGGGAGAAGGTAGTGAAGGGAGGGCGGGGACAAGGGGAAAAATGAGAACCAAGACCTGTCATGTAGAGGTAAAAGATCACAATGATGAATGTAACTGTACTGTATACCTAAAATGTACCAATAAACTCAATGAGGAAAAATAATATTTAATGTGAAAACTTCCAAATAATTTTCTAAATAATTTTCCTACTTTGCTGTCAGTTTTTATAATCCAAAAGTAAAAGTCCTCTGCCTCTCCAACTCCCACCAAACTACTGCCTGGATACAGTAGGTGCGAAAAATTTAAAAGCTCTGGTTTTTCTGGAAGGTGATTTTTCAACCCAGATATTTTATTTATATCTTATCACTCTGCATCCTGATGACCTTGCAATTGACTGTAATTGTACCTCTATCTAAATTTCTTCATTGTCTTTTGATTTTTTCAGAAGACTTGAATGAAGCTTGTTTTAGTTTATTAACTCACTATTCAGCCTTTTTTTTTTTTTTTCTTTTGGTTTTTTGAGACAAGGTCTCACTACGTAGTTTAGACTGACCTGGAACTCACTATGTAGCACAGGCTGGGCTGGTCTGGACCTCACAGCAATCCTTCTGCCTCAGTCTCCCAAGTGCTGGGATTACAGGAGTGTGCCACCACACCTGGCTCAGTTTGTTTTCTATATTCAAAATTTTGTTGTAATCTCTTGCCTACTATTATCTATTCTATCTATTCTTCCATTCACTTTATCTGTGTTAGTTTAAATGTTTTAAAATTATATTTTCTTCATTTTAGTGTAGTTCAGGCATATACAGCCCAACAACCTTGTTTATCTAAAAATACAGGAAGGTGTCTGGTCCTCTCTATCTGCAGTTCTTTCCTGGTTCCCATCTTTTCTTTCTCTGGGCACAAATATCCTATTTAATGAAGTTAAACATCATTTTGGTCAGTACATTGTATAGTAATCCAGAGTCATTATTCTAGTTGAATAATGACTGTTTTGGAAATGAATGAACAGCACTGAGTGCTATGAGAGATCATAAGGTAAAATTCTTTAATCAATAGATATGAGATATTTCAATATTAAAGGAGTTGAATGCTTATTTCAAGGATACTGGAGCTGTGGCATAAAACCAACTCAGAGAAATTTAGATTTTAAAATTATGAAATGGTAAATTTTATTTTTTCCTTTCTATAGACTTTGTATCTTGATTGAAGCACAGACATCTGTCTTTTTCCCAGATAGCAAGAACTTTGGTTGCTGTGGTAACATATTAACTGGGAACTTAAAATAAAGGTGGCTCATTTCTAAATCATTTTTTTTCTCATTTTCTTCACAAAAGGTGCACACACTGGCAAGAGAGCTCTACTGGAGTCTTTGTAGTCAATAGACCTGTTTGTTGAAGAATTACTACCCTAAACTTGCATGTTAAGCAGGTGAGAAAAAGTACATTTGGCTTTCATATGAAAGCCTGCATGATCTCATTTTTAACCAGTTTTCTTCCTTTTTTTCTTTCTTTCCTTCCTTTCTTCCATCTTTTCTTTCTTTCTCCCTTTTTATTTTTCAAAATTGTGATATTAGGGACCTGGGTGAGTGTAGAAGAGGACAGGGAAAAGGCTGAAGCAGGGCCCGGTTGTTCATGCTTGAAAAGATTGTTACTTGAAGCTAACATGAAGTTATTCCAATATGCATTCAAACTTAGATGCAAACAAGTTCTAAATTTTTCATAGAGGCATGGATTGAATCTTCCAACATGCAAAAATAATCTTGACACTTTGGAATGCACAGATATTTGTGCATTAAATCTCATGAAATCCTGGCAAGAAGGGAAAAGAGTTTCTTTCCTTTAATTGAGGACACATCTCAAATCACTTGTACATTTAACCACATTCAAATATTTATAGCATTTATTTCTAAAAACTCATTTTCTTATGAGTTTTGCAATGAAGTTGAGTTCATCAGCAGCAACTTGGAATGACAGAAAAATGTGCAATTCTACTTGAGTTTTATTTTTTGACTTTTTAAAAACTTAGATACTTATAATGTTTTTTATTTGTTCCTCAAATGCATTAAAGTAAATGATATTTGAGGGTGAATCAAACATGAACTTTTAATATGAATTATTTAAATTAATTGTACACACACTCTAAATTTTGCTACATCATATTATTTGAGATAGATATTCCATTTTTAAGGATATTTATTATCTATAACAATACAATTAAGTGTTTAGAGAGCATAAAATTTGGGGGGGTACCAGGGATGGAACTCAGGACCTTGTGTTTGCAAGGTAGGCACAGTGCTACTGAGCTAAATCCCTAGACCAAGAATACATAATTTAAGAATCATAATTTGGGATTGATGATCAAATACTAAAGAAAAGAAAACATAATTTTAAGATTTTTAAAATTTCCACCCCTTCAGTAAAGATAAAGACTATTTTAATGCAATGAAGAACATATGAAACTTTCTTGGTTAGGGATTTTTAATGTAGAGATTCTAGTCTCCCCTCATGCACAAGAACTATAGAACACATTTGAATTCACAAAC